CCCCGGGGGTTGGGATCCCGTTGCTGGTCAAAAAAAAAAAAAAAAAAAAAAAAAAAAAAAAAAAAAAAGAACATACCCAAGGTGCCAAAAAGGTTGTGAGGAAGATGGAGGATGGGCCATAGGATATAGCAGTGGCGCCCAAGAGGCCCCAACAGTCAGACCCATCTCTGAGAGAGGGCTCAGGTTAGCTGGCCAGGAACTCTCCTTGGTTAGAGGAAAAGACAGATGCAGCATCACAGAGGGTTAGGGTGGAACCAGGGGCCAGAGTCAGTTAACTTCAAAAACACCTTCTGCCATCTAAGAGAGAGAGAATGAAGCAGATCCCCCGACCTCTCTGAGGTCCCCATTTTCTCATCTGTGAGATGCTGATGGGAGGCCAGGGTCCACAAGACCCCGCGTCACAGAAACACATGAGCTCCCCCCAGGCACCACCAAGTTCTCCAGGGAGAGGCCGAGAGAGTCCAGGGAGGAGACTGTCGGCTCCTAAGTCTGGGTTCATGAGGAGGCAGGACAGCTGCGAGGACCTCCAGTGTGGAAGCTGGGCTAGACCCTGGCCCTACTCGGATCTGTTCATCTGTGAGATGGGGATAGCTTCAGAGGGGTGGCGGGACAGCAGGGTTGGACTGTTGTAGGCACAGCAAACGCCCCCCACACTACCCCTAAGCTCCAAGCCACTGATGAATCTGTGTGTGGTTCTTGGGTGGTAGGAAGTGGCTGCCTTTAGGGCTGAATTTTCAGGAGGGGGCCTAGACAGGTTGGGGAGTAGCAGGGGGACACCCCCCTTCTTGCAGATGTAAAAGAGGGGTGCAGGAAAGACGCCCGAGGGAAGAGGCTGGGAGACAGTTACCTAACTTCTCTGCAAAACTCGGTAAGAAGGTGTTCATGTTCAGTCACCACATGTGAAGCTCTCGGGACAGTGCCAGCAAGAGCGGAGAAGCGGGTCCGGGCACGTGGTGGGCCACCCCGCCCCGCCGGCCGCTCACCTCCTTGGCCTCACGGACCCTGGCCAGGAAGGCCCGCAGCTCCAGCGTCTCCACGAAGAGCGCACGGCACACGGCCTGGTAGTGGGTCTGCGCGCCCCGGGGCTCGCTCAGGCGCGCCGCGCACAGCCGCATGGCGCGCTCCAGGGTGCGCACGGCGCGCGGGCCGCCCTCGGCCGCCTCCTCCTCCTCCTCGGGGCCGCCGTAGCCCTCGTCGGCCCCGCCGCCGCCGTCGTCGCAGTCGTTGTTGGCCATGAGGTCGATGAGCCGCTCCAGCTGCGGGCTCAGCTCACGCTCCTCGCTGTCGTCCAGCCCCCAGTCCAGCGCGCGGTAGATGGCGAAGCCCAGAGACTGCACCACCTGCGGGACAGGCGACAGCGCGCTCACGACAGCGCCCGGACCCTCCAGCCGTGAGCCCGGAGGGGGCACTCCACGGTACGAGCAAAATGTGGACACCTTTAAAAGGATGTTCCCCAAACAGCACAGCCACGTTGGAAAAGAGTTTGGCAGATTCTTACAAGCAAACATGCATCTGCCGCGAGATGCAGCCCCTCGTCCCCCAGGTACATAACCAGAAAAGAAGAAAATGCGTACCCACACAAGACTCCTGTGGGAATGCTCGTGACACCCAGACCTGGGGACAGTCCAAAAGCGCTTCCACTGATAGGTGATTAACACAAACTCTACAAAGCAGGGAGAAGCCACAAGACACCAGCCCGGGCCCCACAGAAAGTCCTCGCCTGCGTGAAACTCCAGGCAAGACAAGCTGACCCTCAGCGACAGAAAGCAGGTCGGTGGTTCCCTGGGCCGGGGGTGGGTGGGATTGGAGGGGGCACAGGGAAACTTTCGGGGTGATGGGAAAAGTCCACATCTTGTTTACGGTGTTTGCGCAAACTCATGAAACTGCCCACTTAAAGTGCAAATTATACCCTAGTAAAGTTGATTTAAAAAAAGACCGGCAACCTAAGTAAATATTAGCCTATAATGTAATATAACAGTATAGTTTAAATCAAAGGAGAAAGAGTAGTTTATCTAGTAAACGCTGCTAGAACAATTGCTTAACTATACATAATAAAGTTTGAAATGTGTAAAAAATCATACCCTCTCACTTAAATGCATTTAACTTTTCAATGTATGTAAATTTAGCCTGGAAAAAAAAATCCCCAAAATAATGGTGCCTGAGTGGGGGGTGGGTAGAGTATGGATTCCCAGAGGCAAGGGTTGTGACTTAGCAACTGCGGGAGCTCAGCAGGGCTGGGGGCCGTACTATTCTGTTTGTTTTGTATATGCTCGAATTTCTCCATAATAATTTTTTTTTTTAAAGCACATTAAAAACCAGTGTGGTCTCACAGTGGAGGTCTCTTCACTCAGCATTCCCCAGTTTTCCTGGGCAGGGAACCTTCTGTTTTCAGTCTACCATTAACATCCTGGGAAGCAGTGTTCTGTGCAGCATGTCTGGAGATGGCCCGCATGTCCATCTGTTTCAAATACTTTCCCTGTTCAGGGCCCACCTGTCCCCCTGGGACAGTCGGCTGTGCTCAGACAGGGAAGTGTCAGATGGACACAGAAGGACAGTAACAAGGATGCTCCTAATCTCCATAGCACTGTGTCTTTGTGTTTTGAAGGGCTTCACACTTTCCCTTTAGGGCACAGGTAGAAAAGACACACACACACAAAACTAACAGCAGCTCTCCTTATGTAAGACCCCACTGAGCTCTGTGTGTGACTCCCTCTGTGTGTCCTGCAGTGCTCTCGCTCCATACGTATGGGGACAGAGGCCTGGAGGTCTCCAGCTGGCTGAGCTGGACTCAGAACTTGGATCTGTTCAAGGTCTGTGATCTGAGCTTTGTGCTGCACTGTGGGGGAGGAGGGGACTGTCCACTGCCCGAGTCTACCTGGCCTCAGTGGCCCTGCAGGGGGGTCCTTTGGCCTCTCCTCTCATTTCCTGTGTACCTACCACTGGGAGTCCAGGGAGCCGGAGGCGGGCAGAACAGGAGCAGGTGGTGAAGGCCAGCACTGGGTAAGGGATAGGGCTGGGGAACACAGCCTTCTCTGTCCTGCAGAAATGCCTTAGAAGACCCCAGTGCCAGGCAAGGGGTCATCCCCTGGCTTAGGGGGCTGGTGAGAAAAGTGAGGCTCCAATGAGAACAAAGCCTCAGCCTGTCCTTGGAGGCCACCATCCTCTTATCTCTGCTCTAGGCAAGGAGAGTCACATCCTAGAATCAAAGGCCAGAGGTCACAGCAGCATGGGCCAGGGCTAGGGTGGAGTCTCCTGCATCAGGGGGTCTCTAGAGAGCAACCTCAGTGCCCCTCCTGGGTACAACAATGGGTAGAGGGGGTTAGAGGTAGGGCGGGGATAGGGCTGGCAAGAGACACAGTCCCCACAAATTCCCAACAACTCTTTTTCGGTCCCAGCAACAGGTGCCAGGAAAGAGTGTGGTGGTGGGAACTGAATTTCACACCGTCCTGCCAATCCTACTCACAGGGCTCCAACCATCTCTCCAGTGGAGATCATGCTACCCCATGGAGCGGGGCAGGCTAAGAGGAGAAGTAGGGAAGCCACCCAGCACCTCAGTACAGCACAGAGCAGCGCCCGCCCACCTGTGCCTTCCGTCTACATCCCAGCCACTGGCCTGAGCCAGCATCACATCAGCAAAAGGGTCAACACTAATCTGCACCTCTTATCTGATAGCTGCTTCACTAGAGGTTTTTCTGTGCCCCAAGTCACTGGAAACCTTCTCTGGAAGCAAAGAATGCTTGTTTTCCCATAAGGAAAAATCTGGACAGCCGGCCAGAGGCTCAGGTCCTCCAGCCCTGCTGTCCACAGCAGGGCCTGAAACTGAGGAGCCTGCAGGTACAGCTAGCCAGCCAGGGTGTCAGCCCAGGAGCTGGAGGGGCTGTAGGGGTGTTGTGAGATCCAGCAGCAAGAATCAAGAATGTTGAGTAGCTCTCCAACCCTCTCTGCTGGGATGGGGCTCTCAGGTTAATTTATGGTATCTGAGAACAGTCCAGATTGGAGTTCTCCATACAAAGGTCCTCGTAAATATTTTTAAGAGGCATAACCACAGGCATCCTTCAGAAAGTGTTTGGGGTGGCAGACAGGGACTGCACCTCTGTCTGGGGACTCTGGAAGCCTCCCAGCACTGGGAGCACAGGACTTTGGAAAAAATAAATTATCTAGAATATTATGCAGCCATGAAAAAGGATGACTAACAGCTGCACACAGAAATGCAGGTGAATCTTGAAATACATTGCTTTTCCCCCCTCAAATCCCAGGAAACTATATGTAGTACAATACTGTCTTCACAGAGCTCACAAGCACACCTAGGCAAGGTTGTTTAAATAGCAGCATTCCAAGGTGGTGAGGGTATCTTATCATTGACAATTGCCAGCATGTGGTGATAAGAAAAGGCACACAAACTTTTCATTGGTTTTATTATTCTCTCTAAATTCTCCTCTTTGGGTGTGTGCCCACCCTCACCTTTTGGTATGCCACTATGTTTAATATATACACAGGTACTGTGATAATACTATGTTTTTTAAAAAGCGGTGGGATGATAAAACATCAAATTCAGGACATTTCCTGGGGGCAGGAAGATGGGCAGGAGGGAGACACAGGAAGATGCCCTATTGGTGAGGTTCAAGTTTGGGCTGTGCAGGGACTCCTGGGCACTGGTCATTGGGCTGGTTTTCCTTTTTGCCCAGGCTCTGTGCCCCAGGAGGCCAACCCTGCAGGCCACATCTCCTTTGCTCCCTTCCTCTGGTCCATTGCCCCCTCTTGCTGGCCTAGGAGCGGGAGCAGCCCTCACACTGGGCTGCCTGCCTTCTGCAAAGAGCTCTTCATGAAGCTCCTTCAGTTAAGCCCTTTGGGTGATTTACCTGTGTCCTGCTCCGCTGAAATAACTGTATAACTTTATATGCTTTATACTTTACATCGTACGATTATGCAGGTAAGTTTTAACATGTATCAATTAATTCTTAAAATTGTTTTGAAAGTACCTGGGCTTCCGAGCTGGCTGGTGGCACCACCATTGTCGTGGGCTCTGCAAGAGAAGACAGTGTGTCAAGGTGTGTCGGCACCCCTGGGACCCCAGTTGCTTGTCCACCTGCCTCCCCCTTAGTTCTGCTTCCCTTCACAGATGCACAGCATGTCCCCAAGATCTCCATCGGGACACCAGAAAGCCTGTAACAAGCCAAGCCGTCTGGTCGTTTGGATGGGCACCTACAAGGCTCAGCGAGAAGCAGCACCAGGCAGGGCTGCAGAGGGCTGCTGTTGGCAGTTACACTCCACGGTGACCACTCAGAGGGGAAAATTGGGGCTGGACAGCAGCCACAGTCCCTGGCACTGAGGGGGCCTGCCCTAAGGGATGCTTGGTTGAAGAAGGAAGGAGGGAGCAGCTCTGTGAAGTCAGGTCTGGAAGAAAGACACTCATGCCATGGTCTGAAATGAGACACTCCAGCTGCCCAGAACCCAAATCACAGCAGAGTCAGATGAGAAACTGGGCTCACAGGAGATGATGGACATTGCTCCAGAGCTCCTGGCAGCTGAACTGAGCAGGTTGGCATCTGACCGAAAACCCCTTGATTTGGGGAGACTGTGAGCGCCTCTTTCAGAGAATCAGAGTCGCCAGGTTAAAGCACAGGTGGACACTGAACTCTCTGCATTTTATGCATTAAACCTGAGAGCACTGAGTGAGTTAGCATCTTACAAGTGCTCACTCCTGTAACCCATACACAACCCGGTAACCATTTCACAGACGAGGAAAGGGGGGCCCAGAAGGGTGAACTTGTCTGCTCCAAGGGGTCACAACTAGTAAGTGGTGGTGCCAGGAGTCAGGAGGGCCAGGCAGGGGGGCCCCTGAATCTGTGCTCCAGGCTGCTCCCCAACCCTCCTCCCCCAGGCCTCCCAAGAAGCCATGCCGGGTGAGGTGCACTTCCACACACAGCCTGCCTGGCATAAGCGTGCAGGTGGAGCTGTGCCAGGATGTGAACTTCAGCTGCCTTAGATTCTTTCTGGAAATGAAGTGAGATATAAAAAACAAACAAAAAACTATACCATGAGATTGTCTGCTAAGCAAACCTGCTAACTCCGCAAATATTTTCGAAATGCCATCAAGAACCAGGAAGATTGCCAAAGATAAAGGGAGTCTGTGTTGGGCTGGTCCATTAACATAATGGAAAACAATTCACTCCCCACATCACTGGAGTTAGTAAAAAAGTGAGCAGTTGGGCCGGCCCGGTGGCGCACTGGAGAGTGCGCCACTTGGGAGCGCGGCAGCACTCCCACCGAGGGTTCAGATCCCATGTGGAGACCGGTTCCCACTCACTGGCTGAGCACGGTGCGGTGCGGGCGCAGCACCGAGGGTTGCGATCCGTTGCCGGTCCTCGGTGCGGGCGTGACACCGAGGGTTGCGATCCCATTACCGGTCAGTAAAAAGACAAAAAGGAAAAAAAAAAGTGAGCAGTGAGCAGTACACTGTGGGGAGACTGTGTCCCCAGGGGATGGACAGAACCTCGTGGGGCCATGCATTTGATAAAAGTCTGTAGCCAAGATTGGACAGAGGCAGTGAGGAGGTGGAAGAAATCAGACCCAGAACAAAGGTGTTTCCTGGAAGCAACCAGTGCCCTGAGTTGCTCGGAGGGAAGGCAGAAAGGGCTGACTGGGCCGACCAGCCCTGCAGCGCTCTGCACAGACTGAGCACGCACCCTCCGTCAACGGGCAACTTTCTGGTTGGAATAATCTTAGTGCTGTGTCCCTGGCTTAAATAGTCCATATGTTAACAAAAATTTTGTACCAAAATTAAGTGTTCATGAATCTAATTGTATTTTAGCTTGCAAGGACTTGGGGAGTCTTTGGGTTTTGATGAGCAACCTCTGGCTCAGTGAGATTCAGGGGCAGCCAGAGCCCAGCCTTTGCTCAGATGCTACAAACTAACAATAATTTATCATGGCCTCAATTTGCACAGTCAAATTGGGATGTGCTGTGATTCCCTCTTTGCAGATGAGGAAACTGAGGCTCAGGCAAGTTGAGAAATTTACCCAAGACCACGGACTAATGAATGGTGGAGCCGGGCCCGCATGGGCGCCAGACCCCAGACTGCACTCTTCTCCCACCCACCCCTAGCATCCCAGGTACAGCTGCGCAGAGCTGCCATAAATGTGTTGCCAATGCGGTCACATAGAATTATGCAAACTATCTTTTGCTTGTTTAAAAAATTCTCTCCAGGGGAGAGCAGCTGGAGGCAGTGAGGACCGAGGGGTCCTCATCAGGTCTGTCGGTGCCATGTTGGGGTGGGGGCTGGAACCAGGACACCTGGTTCCCATCGGCTTCGTTCCCAAGCTCTGCCAAGGGCTAAGACTCCTCTTAGTGCTTATTTCTCCCTGCAGGGAAGTACGTCCTTGCCAAGAGAAGTGGAAAGCCACTCTGGTTTCTTTTGTGTAATATAACAAATGAGGAGAAATCGAGAAGCTGGGGCTTTTCTTTGAAACAATTGTGGAGGAGAGACATCTATGGGACTTTCACAGCTTCGAGAGGAAATGCATACACTCTGCGGGCAGGTGAGCAGTGGGCGAAGGCTACCTGGCAGCTCAGCCCCTTTCTGCCTACAAGGAGCAAACTGGCCTCCCTGGCAAGAGGGTTGTGGGGACTAAGGAGCTTTGGATGAGGTCAGATTCCGGCTGCCTGTGGCTGTCTGCTCCGAGTGTCTCTCACCTCGCTTCCTCACCTGTAGGACGAAGACGACACCTGCCCTATCTAACTCATGGTGTTAGCTCAGAGAACAAGATGGGCAGCAGATGCAGCTTCCCAAGGAGTGATGCCGAAGGGTGTGGGCTCCTGCCCTGCCCCTTGTGGTCAGGATAGAGAATAGCCGTGGAGGAGCCTGAGCTGTCTGCATGATGCGGGGTAAGACTGCCCTCTTCACCATGGCCCAGAGGAAGACCTCACACATCAGGGGGAGGCTGCAGCATTGGCTACACTATGCTGCCTCCAGGTCTGGACCCCCAAGAGTTCTTAAATACCAACCAAGAGTGAAGGCAGGAAGGGCAGAGGGGCTCCTTGCCTTTCTGCTTCCCAGGCTTGGTGCTCTGAGAGCAGGCAGGCAGGAGGCAGCCAGGGCCTCACAGGCCAGGAGGACACAGTGTGCTCATTCCTGGTAGACAACCCCAGCAAAGGCAACCTGCAAAATTATACCCTCTCTCACCTTCTGACATAGCAGGCTGCTTCCAGAAGGCACGCCCGTGCGGCATGTCACCTATGGAATAGCTCACTGCCACATCCTCCCTAACCACGAAACACTAGAAACACAAATGTCCACTGAAGACACGTGGAGACATCATGCAGGGGACACCCAGCAGCCATTACCAAGAATGCGGCGTCCTTTGTGCTGGGGTGACCCAAGACCCCTACTGAGGGAAAAGCAGAGTGCAGCCCCTGAGTTCAGAAGGGGACGCATTTGCCCACATGCTGGCATGTGCATAAAATGCTGATAGTTCTGGCTGCTGTGAGAAGCCCCACTGCATATCCAGAACAAGGATGCAGGGAGACTTTAGCTGTGATCCCTTCACACTTTCTGAATTTGAAGCCACATGGATGTGTCAAGAAATCTGTTTGTGTGAGAGAGAAGGAGAGAGAATCCACAGCACCCACCTCAGCCTTAGTCACAAGTCACAGGGGGAACTCGGTGGTCTGAAGTCAAAGAACCCATGTGGCTTTGAGCAACTTACTGAATTCCTCTGAGCCACCTTTCCCTTTTAAAAAACAGAGATCACAGCTACCACAAAGGTTATTGAAAGGGTTAAATGAAAATGCATGTAGTGTCTGGCACTGATAAATTATCAATAAACGCTTGTTCCATAGTCAAGAAACACATTTTAAAACCTAACGTACTAGACCAAGAATCAGCCTTCAGAAGCAAGCTGGTAAGAGCAGGCAAACAGGAGCCCAGAGGGAAAGATGCCTGCAGAAACCAGGGACACCTGTGTTGGTTCAGCAAACAGAGCTCTTTGGGTCAGAGGGATCCACGTGTTTGTGGTGTATACCTCCTCCTGGCTGATCCCTGGGCTATCAACCCACTTCTCCTTAAACTCACCCACCACCCACATGGGGCTCCCAGGAGGTGTCCCCTGCCACCCTGTAGCAGGAACCCAGGCCCACCAGGCACTGATTCCAATGAAGACCCAAGTGGGGTGTGTGTGTTGGCTGAGGAACCTCCCTGAGCCCCAAAGCAATAAATACTCAGGAATCCTCTGCATTTTCACAAAGGTCTGATGGGGAGGGTCCTGGCTTCTCTGCTCTTGCTGAACCTGCATACCCAGCCCCTGCCTAGCGTGTCCTGGGTACAGCTCCAGGAAGACCCCATGGATGGTGGTGACAGGATTAGATTCTGAGAAGGTGCTCCTCCTGCCTAGCAACTCACTTGGCTTTTCAGCGACTATCTCAGTTAGTCCTGGCTCTTGGCCCACGTCACAGCTTCTGCTGTTACCCCCAGTCCACGAGGCCCAGAGAGGGTGAGGAAGTCTGCCTAGCAACTCACTTGGCTTTTCAGCGACTATCTCAGTTAGTCCTGGCTCTTGGCCCACATCACAGCTTCTGCTGTTACCCCCAGTCCACGAGGCCCAGAGAGGGTGAGGAAGTCACCCAAGGTCACCCAGCCAAGATTCTACCCAGGGCCAGCCTGGCTCCAGGGCCCACACCCTAACCCTCACTGAGCATCTGAGCCCCTGAAGATGGAATGAGCTACCCAGCATGCAGCAGACCCGCAACAACAGCACCCTGGGAAATGGCTCACCCCAGACCTTTTGAATCAGACACTCTGGGCTGAGACCCTGAGATCTGTAACAGGCCACCCTGCAGGCCCTGACACCTGCTCCAGTACAAGAGCATTGGGTGGGAATACAGTTCCAGAACTCACGTGATGATCGGAGGCACTAGGCAGCTTTGGAAACAGATTCCTGGGCCCTGCAAAGATCTACTGAACTGGAATCTGGGGTGAGGGACTATGACAGGCGGGTATTTTTAACAGCTTCCCAGGAGTGGGGCCTT